CGCTCGCGAACCACTCGCGAACCACGTGAACGAGTGAAGGAGTGAAGCTGATGACAAGGATAGACTGCTACGCCACACAAGTATGTGAAAAGCAAATGACCATGAGGGAAAGACACGAACCACGTGAACGCGCGAAGCTGCTGCCAAGGAAAGAGACCAACTAACCAGGGAGGGCGGGAACCAAAGAGTAACCAGGGTTAGGTAGGAGGATATGTGGAAAAAAGGGGGAGGAGGGTTGAATCACGGGGCGAAGAAAGCGGAAAAGAGCCGAAGGAAGAGAGCGAGGTGAGAGGTGAGGAGGAGGGTAGGAGGTCAGCTCACTGCCACCCCGTGACTCCCATTTCAAAACCATATCACACACACACACACGCACACGTTCATTTGCAAGTACCTGCGCTGCCGCTGGCACCAGCTTCCAGTAGCCTTGGAACACCGGGCCGGCGCCTGGGTCGGTTGGGTCACCCACTCCCGCGCCGTACCGCAACATCACCGCACATGCCGTAGCGTTCACAGGCGCCTCGTGATATCCGGGTCCCCCCCCGGCGCCAATCGACTGCTGATCAGACAAATTGAACGGCGCCAGGGCCGCTGGTTGTGGGCCGCTCTGTAACAGCTGCCGACGGCGGCGCTTAGCTCCGACGCCGTCGACGCAGTTGCCGTACATCCGTACGACGTCTATGCGGTGCGCGGGGCTGGCGCCAGAGCCTCTCAGGTTGTGGTGGTGTAATCCGCCAGCCGGCGGTCGCGTCGTCGCCAGGTTGCCTTCTCTGGCGAGCAGCCCGTCGTACAGGTAGCCGCTCCCGCTGCCGCCGCCGAAAACTGCGGATGCGGTCGATTCGTATTCGTCGCGCTTCAAAGCCTCCGTGTCGCTCCCTTCCACGTGCGGCACAAGGCCGTCCAGCTCTCCGGCTTCTGTAGACTCTGAAGTCTCTGCTGCTGTCGCCGTCGCGTTCACCGCTGCCCCGTCCCCGCCGCCCGCCGTCCGATCCGCACCATCCTCCACCCGCAAGCCCCCCGCTGCGATGTCGGTGTCTTGGCCGTTGTTGCCGCCGGCGTTGACGGAATCCTGCGCTTCTGGACGTTCTTCATGTACGGCGGTCCCCCACGTCGCGTGCTGCGGCTGCGAGCCGTCACCGCCATCATTACACAACATGCTGGATCCTGTCGCCGGCAGCGGTGCAAATGCCACGATGGTGGCGGTGGCGGCGGCGGCGGCGGTGGCGGTGAGTTCATGGTGGTCGCTCATGCTGTTTTGCAGCCGACGCCCGCCGCCTGTGGACCCGGACTGTGCCGTTGCGGCTCCACCTCCGCCGCCGCCGCCGCCGGCGCTGTTGACGCCGTTGTTAGCTGCATAGGCCTGTCCCGGGCGGCAAGATAGGGGCGGCGCGGGCCCGCCGCATGCCCCAAACGCGGTTCGGAGGAAGCCCCCGATCAACTGATTGTACAATTCACTGCCGCCTGGCGTCGCGTTGCCGGCTGCAGCGGGCCCGGTCGCCCCGCCGCCGACGCCAAACACCGGGGCCAGTGTTTGGGTCACACCTCCAAGCGGGGCTCCGGAGCTGAGCCCGCCCGCCGGCGGCGGCGCCTGAGCGCTGGCCGGGGACGCTTGCAAAAGGGTACGTTGGCTTCTGCCATCGCCGTCGCTGCCGCCCTGGCAACCGCAACCCAACGTCACCCCCGCCGCCCTCGTCGCCGCCTGGTCACCACTACTAAGCATCCGAATCGGCAGGGCCGTCGGCGGCCCAGGCAGCTCCCGTGGCCGGCCCCCAGCTGTTTCAAGCCGTTGCCCGCAGCCGCCCTCTACTCTATTAACATTGCCGCCACCGCTGCAGCCGCAGCCATGGGAAGATGCGGCGGGGCTTTCGGATGCTTCGCTGGACGAGTTGGAGCCCGCTGATGATGATGCGGGTAACGATGAGAAGCCCATCGCGGGCGTCGCCTTCAGCACCGCAGCCGCAGCCAGCACAGCCACCAGCAGCTGCAATCCGCGCCGACAGGAGGACCCTGACGGGGATTGCGGTATTCGCAGTCGCCGGCATGGGTGGCATGCCGGCTTTGCCATCATGATGCACTGCCTCTGGCTCTCATGTCGCAGGTCCTTCCAGCAGGTTCGCTTGTCCCAAGTGTAATCTCGCATCCGGAAGAATGAAGGTGGGCTATCTCGGAATTTCGTTACCGACGCTGTTAATGCTGTGAATGCTGCAATCGCTAGTGTTGATGCTGACGCGACTGCTGGTGTCGCTGCTCCTTTTGCAGACGGTCGCTTTCGGGGCGCCTGGATTAAGAGCAGCACTCTTCGGTCGCCGTAACCTCTCGCCGGCGGCCGCTCTGGCAAAGTGCCGCATGCGGGGCGCAGGAGCACTGCGCTGTATTTAGTGGAAGTGCCTTCTGGATGCCTGGCGCCGTGCCACTATGGACTGCTTGTATAAAGCAAGGGAAGGCCGGCGCAGCGAGAAGGGCCTTCTTGTCTGTTTTAGGATTCCACAGAACAGCTGGTGTAAGCTCTCGTTGAAAGGAAGCGGAGCCTCCGAAAGCCGTTCCTAAGGGGAAAAAATTTATGCGACCACGATGATGCGGCGGATCGCAAAAAAAAGAGGTGGATGCTGGTCACACAAGCTGCTGCCAACTTGCCCCGGTTGGCTTGCGCTGAGGAAAAGCGCTTGATGGCTCGGGTGTTTTTCAAAACGTCGTCCCGACCTGCGCGGATATCAACAGCAGCCCAAGTTCAAGGATACCAGCCTTGCGCGACAAAAGGCGCGGCGTCTCGTCAGAGGACTTAACGCGTGCCGCAAAGACGTCGCTGCAGCCTAGAAGCCTTCAATAATGAAGGACCTGGCGTTGAGCTAGGACACCTTGCCGTGGTGCAGAAGGCGTTATTCACTGCCCCTGAGTAGAACTTTCGGAGCAAGTCCAAAGGAGATGCAAGACTGCGTTGCCCTTCAGAAGGAACTCATGCGCTGGCTTCAAAAGTACATCACCCCCGACGGCAACGTTGGCATTTAAAGCAGCTAAGAACCCTCCTGGTACTCCTGACCAAGTCTGATAACAACAAGAGAGAAAGAGGCTTGTGACCGAAACTTGAGAATCTTGGCAGCACAGGGAGATAATAGTGATGACAGTCGGATGCCTATTTTGACAGTCGCTTGGCCTAGATGCCTTACCGAAAGGTGTGAACTTCAAGAAATTACCAAGTATGGCACTGGGAATAAAAGGCTACAGGATACTCGATGTTGACCAATGGGTCACAGCTTGGCGAGCTTTAGGGACTTAACTGCCGGCCGGGGGAGCCGATGACAGGGCGTCACGACAGATGACCGCGAAGCACCATTACGCCTGCCTGACACAATGCCACTTTTCACCAAGCATCACAGCGACTTGCATAAGGATTTATCCAAATGCTCCCTGGAATGCCTAGCCAGATAGTGCAGTTTGGCGCTAATATGACGAAACTCGCGCGAGACTGCGCGAGCGATCAGCGTGGCGGACCCTTTTCATTCCTCGACTGTGTTACTTCGCGGGAAGTACAGTTGAAAATTTTGTTGAGGGTCCATTGTAACACGACTTAATATAAATTATTTGCGTGCAATTCCAAAACTCCTGCACCGGGCTAGCTGCAGCGCTTCTGCCCACCTGTGCCCACGATCGTGGGCACAGGTGGTACTCGCGAGTGCTCATGTACCCATAAAATTCGCGATACCGCTGCTTTATTAACGAGCGCGCGACCATGTGCAACAACACCCTTTACGAACTCAAATTGCTTTTATGTACCTGCCCACAAAACTTGCATGGGCCTAGGCAGTCTGTTCGAGCTAGGTGGATGGCACAGTCGAGGAATGTCTTGTGAGCAGGGAAAACTTTTACCTGAGATAATATTTATAGTTTTAACTTCCAGTAAAAACAAGGTAGCCTCTAGAGTCATAGCTAGACTTTTACCCTGCGCGCCTTTCCCTATTCAGTTAGCCGGCAGTCACGTCCGGGACACGCGATATGGAAGAGGGGGAAAATGTTCAAGCCAGAGTGCGGTGCGGGGACTTCCTTCAGTGTTGGGATATGGGTTCCCACCAATTGACCGTTCATTTAGTATCCGGGTGGTTGGGAGTTGCTGTTGGGAGATTCGTACCATGACACGTGGACGCGGCCGAGTGACCCCCTTGCTTAGGCAGAGAGCATGGAAAGGGCCCTGGCTAGCCTGCTGACCTCCCCCCCCACCCCCCGCCATTCGTACAGGCGATTTCAGCCACAGCCATTCGTTTGGCGCCCGAATGTGCCCAGCTCGGAAGCCCGCTGCACCAAAGAGATCATAGGCCGTCGGGAAAAGATGGAATATGTCTGTAAAACCTCGGGGGAAGAACTTTTCATGGGGTTCCTGGGGTTATGGGAAGTCCGAACTCCGAAACCTTGAAGGTTTGGAACCGAAAAGCATCACGCTTGAAAACACGAGGCAGTTGCCTTGCAAAACCTATAGAAGAGACATCGGGCTGATGGGCTTTTGGCCCATTTCGCCGGATTGTGACCCTGCAGCCGTACGGGGGTCCACAGGGTTAAACTCGTACAGCGTCGAGGACGCACGGAAGTGGGTCACGTGTGTCTACACGTGCGCGTGCGTGTATGTTGTATCAATTTGTCAGACAATAGCTGGCATAAAGTTTCGGTACTCAGTCATTTGCAGGATCAGAAACATCTGGGCCGTTAATTTGCTCACACGCGGTGCACGATAACCACAAAAGGCAAAGTCGCGCAGTTTTGGTTACCCTACAAGATTAGGCCAGCTATGAAAAAAATCAACCATTTTTGGAAACCTAAAGTAGAAGTTTGTCAATGTCTGGTTTAAAGCAGCATATCTACACCGTTCAGTTGTTTTCAAACCGATACAACGGTCAACCAGCCACACACCTGCATAACTAAACCTGTCGAGTGATCCATCTTACGAATATAGGAAAGTTTACTTGCAATAGTTACGAATAAATGACAGCCATGGCCGTCCACGCAGTGCCCTAATTCACGAAGCTCACTGCGAAGGCATCGGCAGCCGATTTATCCAATTGGAATACTACTCAAGGATGCAGCAACAGATAACTAGAGGATCAGCTTTATTAGCGGATTCATTACGTGCCCGATGGCCGCCACCTGCACATTTGCGAGGGTCGCGCAAGCCGCTGCCTATAAGAAGGGCATTTGGTGCGTCTTAGATATTCACAAAAATGTTAAACTTAATTGCCGCTTATCGAGGCTCCTTTGACTCGGGTCCCAAATTCGTTCCCAACAGCTAAGGATGCACAGTCGATCCCGGGGGACAGCAGCGCTCAGGGCAGTCCTGCGGCCCCAGCCGCTGTCCCCGTAATTGAGGCTACAGTGTTGGAGCCGGGGACTGCCCCAACGGATTCTGATGTTGCGACCAGCGGGTCAGACCAAACAGAAGCTCTGGAGCACCCAGGTGGGCCCATAGTTGTGAGGGATAATAACATCCAGAATTCATAAACTGGACACATAATCATCATTGACGCGTTGTCATGACAACTCAACGCAAAAACACATCAGCAACGGTGGGTGCTGGAGGGTTTCCCTGCCACGGCCCGCTTCATCCCGATCCGGCCTATTCCGCCCCTGGTCTGTCCATCTCTTCCCTGGGTCCCACTCCATCCTCGCGACCCGCAACTTCCCCGCTTACGTAGTACCCCCCCTCGCCCCTTTCCCCATCCTATCCATTACCTTCCCCCTTCCCCCACTCCCTCCCCCTCCGCCCGCCTCGCCACTCCCCGGGGTCCTGTAGACTACCCCGAGGTCCCCGCCGCCACCAACCGTGCGGCCGCACTGCAGTACGGCGTGCTGGGTGCTGTGTATGCCGTTACGGTGGGTCCAGTGTAGTGTGCAGGCGCGCGTATGAGGCGCTCCGAAACCACCCCAGGCCCTAGCGCTCCCTCTTCCCGTTCTCCTGCCGCCACTCCATCTGGGCCATGTCTGAGTTGGCCGTCTTTCTTTTCACTTTTCTTTTACAGCCCCAAACTCTTTCCGTCCCCGGCGTAGAGTGGAGCGCTGGCCACCGCTGCCCTGCAAGCTCCTGCGGCCCTTGGAGTCCCCGGGGGTGACCCATGGGTCAGTACCCTGCTGGGCTGCTTGGCGGCCACCTACCTGCGGGTGGCGGGGGTATGTCTGCACCTCAAGGTGTGTGTGGGGGGGGGGGCCCGCCGGGAGCGCGGAAATGCCGTAAAGGAGGGAGGGAAGGTGGGAGGGAAGGTTGTGGTGAGTGTGTTCTGCATTTCCCTCCCTGGGTGGTTTCGGGAGGTACTACTTGGCATTTCTCGAAAATAATTTTCTTCTTTCCTCGGCCTCTCATTTCGGGTCTCGACGGCACATCTGAAGCCGGTTTCATTCCCTCCATCCTGTTCAGGGGGCTGGAGACAACGAAGAGCTGCTGTGTTGGCGGCACCAGCGGCTGGCCATGATGGCGGCGGTGTACGGCATTGCGGCTGCACTGTCACAGGCGGCTGGGGTTGCATCGCTGCAACTGGCGGGGTGAGTATCTGGGAGGAGGAGGAAGGGGTTCAGGGGGGCCTTGCTTTCCCATCATCCGCGTGCGGCATCATATCCGCTTGCGGCTATAAAACCCAAGCTAAATTCACATGCTCCATGTGTCCGAGTCTCCAGTCGACACACGGCAGTTGCCTTTCTTCGCACGCCTGAACCTCTTCCTCACCAAATTCCCCAACCGTGCAGGCTGCAGGTGTTGCTGTCCGCCGCCACTGCCGCGGTGGTTGTCCATGTGGCCCGCAGCAGCTGGGCTGTACGGCCCTTCGTGGTGACGGTGTGGGAGAAAGCTGGGGGCTCCTGGGGCGGTCTGCTGGGTGAGCTGGCGCAGGCGGGGCTCAGTGCGGTGTCTACGGTGGCCGGGGTTGTGCTGCTGGCGCTCACAGGTGAGGTGGATTGGGATGGGGTGAAGGGAAAAGACAGGGTGGCCGCGCTGGGGGGGGCTTGGTTGTGCTTGAACGGTGCTGGGCGATAAAAGGCAGCATCACGGGCCATCCAGCGCTCTCCGCCTCAAGCCACAGCCATGTCTTAATCAAACGATGCTCAAGCAGGACAGAAGGTCGGCTGCTGTATTTTTTACCTTGCTTTACCTGTCCCACCTCATCCCCTTTCCTTTCCTCCTTTCTCTTCCGGTCGTCACCTCCTTCCGCCGACTCCGACCTTCCCGGCAACCAACCGACGCCGCCATACAGTGATGTCGTTGTACGGCTTCGCCGCCGTCGTGCTATCCCCATCGCCGGCGCCACCGGCCCCGCTGGGCTCCTGGCCGGGTCAAGTAGAGGCGCTGGGGCCGGCAGCTACTGGCCTTCGGCAGCTGGCGGGTGTGGGGTTGCTCCTGGCGGCGGCGCAAGCACACGCGCTGCTGGACTTTGCGGACCATGTGAGGAGGGGACCGCAGCCAGGGGATTTGGAGGCGCTCAAGCGCCTTATGGTCGAGTAAGTGTGTGGGTACAGTCGCGCGTGGTGTGGTATGCTGCAGGAGGGGGGTTGCCGTGCCGTTACGGGCGCGGTGTTGGGAGTCGCGGCGGCGACGTCGTTCACGATTGTGAATGGGTGTTCCTCTGTCGACTATAAAAGGACTCTATAATTTAGTCCTGAGGTGCATGGCGTTTGTTTGGGGGGGAGAGAGAGGATCTTTCGTTTTCTTGATTGGGGAGGGGATCTCGTGTTGACAGCTGGGCCTGTAGTTTCCCGTGGACCTTCGACGTTATGGGTTGAAGTGGCGGCTATTCAGCAGTCCATGTTACTGTGTGCCGCGAAGTCTGAGACGGCTGCAAACCACCATGTAAATCCCACATACTCATAAGGGGGCCGCTGGTGAAGCTATACCACCCTGTAACAACATACATACATACTCGCCAACACCGACGCATGTGCGGGCCATGCCGTGCAAGGCTACCCGGCCAACTCCGTTGCATGGTTCTTTCGCTGGTTTGCACCTTGCAAAACGCATTCAAATCGGCCTCGGCGCAATAACGACGCACGCAGGTACTTGGTGCGGACGAAGGACGGATTGCACAAGTATTACCTGCCGGGCCCCTGGACGTTCAACGCCCTCAACGCGTCCTTCGTGGCGGCAGCCGCGCTGCAGGCGTTCTTCATGCTGCGCGCACCAGGCTTGGGCGTGGATGTCAACTGGGACGGCGCGCTGTGGGGCCCTATGTATGGCACGTGCGCTCTGACGATGGTGTACGCCTTGGTGGTGCTGCTGACGTTTGACTGGCGCTCGTTTTCAGACTTTGTCATGGGGTTCTTTGTTTGGGCGGGCAATATGGTGCTGGACTTTTTTAACGCTTTTGTGTGGAAGTTTGACTGGGCGGAGCGAAGGCGCCGCGTGTGATGGACGCGCTAAAGGGCAGAGGCCAGCGAAGGCAGGAATTTGGATGCCTTTATGCCTTATACATGTTTTGAATGGGTTGAGAAAAAAAATGTACATCGTTTTCTGCATGCATGCGGAAAGAAGTAAGGATGTGCATCGTGCTCTGCATACTTGCCGCGTGCGGCGTGCGGTCGTGCTGTGGTGCTTCATGCAGCGTACCGTCGTTGCACCCGCTGTTTTTGATGGATCATGCAATATGGCGTTATCTTTCACGGTTTCACATATATCTTTCGCACGAATCAAGTATGTAGAGGTCGCTTCGCCACAACTTTCGTTTTCATCTGCAAATGGACGAAAAGAAATCATATGAGGCTTTCCGAATACGCAAGTTTGCACAGCCTCACCAAGCATTGCTGAATACCAGCGATGATGCGCAGAACCGAGAAGAGCCTGAAGAGGACTACCTTCAGGAAGACGAGGATGAAGCGCCTGATGTTCGCTGCGACCAACTGGATCAGCAACATGAGCAGCAACGAGTGATCCTTCATTTTGACTGTGATTGCTTTTATGCTCAGGTCGGCAGGATCCAGAGCTGGCTGTCAGGCGTGCGCATGTACAGTTATTCCTTGTACAGTTATTTCTTTTAGGTTACGCCGTTCATGAAGTAAAAATAGGATCCCTGCGCAACCCAGGTTGAGGAGGTCCGCAATCCAGCCCTGCGTCAAGTCCCGCTGGGCGTCACCCAAAAGTACCTCATCGTCACGTGCAACTACGTGGCGCGCGCAGCGGGTGCGGATTAGGAACGAGACCGACCTGCATGTTTTCGATTCTGCGTGGCCCATGGACAGGAGTACACGCCTCTTGTGGACCACTAGACTGGGCTGCAAAACCCTGCGGCATGGGAAATGGAGCCGCACGTGAAATCCCACATCCCCGTTGCCATTTTGCTTTTAGTCCGCTGACATGCGTAAGTGGCATGCATCATCTCCTTCTCCTCTCCCGCGTTCGCTCCTGCCTGATTCCAGGGGTGACCAAGCTGATGGGCATTCGGGATGCCATGGCACGCTGCCCCGGCCTGGTGCTGGTCAGCGGAGAGGATCTGGGCCCGTACCGGCAGGTACGATTGTACGAACAACCGTACACACAACCGCTTGGGACCAGCACTGGCGATGACTCTCTGTTGTGTCTGTGGTAGTCTCTACTGAGGACGCGAAACGGTGATGTATACCGTGTGTATGTATATGTGCGCAGTACGCGACGGGTAGCGGACCCGACACTTTTTGCGACCGCTGCCAGATGATGTGATCCGTCGCGTCTGGGATGGACACAATCACTCGAGGCGCACAGGTTTTGACAACATAATTTCGGACTTGCGGTCAATTTCGCTCGATATGCATCGAGAGACACTCGACCAGCCTGCCCATCGGTATTGCCGCAGCCGCAGCCGCCGCAGCAGCAACATCAATGACCATGGCGGGCGGGCCACCCACAGGCCTTTACGGACGCCACCACATTTAAAAAAATTGGGGAACCTGTAACTTGTAATGAAAACATCCAAAGCAACTCCATACCTTCAGTCTCCCTTCCTTCACCTCCGCGCCGAACTGCAGGCCAGCAAGTCCATCCATGCCGTGCTGTCACGGTACGGCCCGGCGGAAAAACTGGGGATGGATGAGACGTTCGTGGATGTAACGGAGGTGCGTCGCTGAGAGGCCAACACCCTTCCTAGGGGGCTGTAGAAGATTGCGCGTTTCTCTACTTCTATCCGACAAGTTGGAAAATCCTTTCCCCGCTGGCTGGACTCTTACTCCCACCACTGGGCCCTCCCATCTGCGCCTTTTGACCGAGCTGGTCCCCCCCACACACAACGCACAGCTTCACTCGCTCGTGGTTCGTCTTCCCCCCCCCCCAACACACACACAGATAAACATGCGCGCGCGCGTGCTGTGCTTTACATACATGTTGATGTGGGCGATATGTTCCTTTCCCTGGCGCTCCGTGGAAATGCCTTGAGTCTTGCAGTGGTCGGTGTTTCCTCTGGATGGCTCTGAATGGCTCTGAACGGCTCTGAATGGCAATTTGGGACCTCTCCAGTGTTGTTGGGACATCGCGCTGACTCCACAGCTCTCCAAATTTCCCATGTCTTAGGGTTTTATGGGCGCCCTTGCTTGCTTGTACTTATCCACGCCCCCATTAACCGCGTCCACACCCCGGGGGACTGCCCTACTGACTTAGTGTCATATTCACTGTAGCTCTTCCAGACGGGGCTGGCCATGGGCCATATGTGGACCTATTTTTCCCTTATATGGACCCATGGGGTTATGCATGTTTCTTCTTACACACGCTGTCAGTTCCCCCGCGTGTAGGAGGTCCTGCGACGCATCCGCAGCGGGACGTACGACCCCCCGGCTCCGCCACCCCGCCTGGCGGGCCACCTGCACACCGCCAAGTGCGCCGTAGCAGCCGACACCAGCTACAGGCCCCAGGACCTGAGGGCAGTGCCGGTAGCAGCAGCCACCACTGCTACTGTGACTTCTACTTCTGTTGCTACAGCTGTTACTACTGCCGTTGCTGATGTCTCTGCTGCATCAGCATTAGCCGGCGTTGCCGCGGAGTCGGCGGCTCGGGTGGAATCGGCGGCAGCAGAGGAAGCCGCGGGGAGGGAGGGGGTGGGGGGTGGGAGAGGCGCTGGTGGGGGTGGTAACGGCGGCCACGGAGGCCGCAGCGCAGGAGGTGCCGTCGCGGCCCGCGGAGTCGGTAACGGCTACAGTAGCGGCGCTGCCGTGGGGGTTCAGTCAGCAGGAGTGGAGAGCTGGCAGCAGCTCCTCACGGTTGGTAGCATGGTGGCGGCGGAAGCTCGCCTGGCAGTGCGGTCCGAGACGGGCTTCAGATCGTCTGCCGGTGAGTACTGCACGGGTAGTTGTGGTACGGGTCGTGACCCCATCTTTGCGCATTGGCAAGGGTCCACCTATGTCCAGGTGGGGCCCGACCCGACCCGACCCGACCCGGCCGAGGATGTGTTGTGTGCTTTAGTGTACTACTGAGCTGCCGCGCAGTGTGCCCCTCTCCCTTCTGGCGTACATGGCGTGTGCCGTACACGGCCCCGGGCGGCCTGCCTGGGTGATGTGTCAGGTCCGCTGCCAGCTGCCGAGCTGCTTCACGTCCCGCTTTGCCTCAAGTTGCTTCCTTGCGCCGTACCCGCGTGTATCTTTGTTGTTGTGTCCTGTGCAATTATATATATATGCATATGTATATATGCATATGTATATATATATATATATCCCCTTATACTTATATCAGTCCTGTGCAACGTATTTCCTGATCAGGCATCTCCTCCAATAAGATGCTGGCCAAGTTGGTCAGTGGGCTTCACAAGCCTGACGACCAGACGGTGCTGTTGCCCGATCAGGCATGGGACTTTGTAGGTGCGTCGTTGGCTTGCTGCATCTGGGGCGGTGGGGCGTCGACTCCCTGCGGCTGAGTCCTGGGTTGGCGAAGACGAGAGAGGTAAAGCTCACAGCGGGGGGGGGGAGATGAGAAATCCTGGTGGCTATGGGCCACCTGCGTCAAGATGATGATGCTGGTGCTGGTGGTGGTGCTGGTGCTGGTGCTGGTGCTGGTGCTGGTGCTGGTGCTGGTGCTGGTGCTGGTGCTGGTGCTGGTGCTGCATGGGAGTATGCCCTGACGAGGGAGAGGGGGGTTTCTTACCTCCTGGCAAAAGGAGGTGACAGACACGTCCGTGTACGGCATCGTGAGAGTTCGTTGGTATTTGGTTAATTCCACGGGTGGGAGCGTGCGTGGAATTTGTTTGTGTCTTCGGTTTGTTGTGCCTCTCCTTAGATTCGAGTCGCAGAGCAGGACTCCGCCCTTAAGTTAAATAAGACCCCGATTCCTTTGATGAGGGAAAGAACCACAAAAACCACAACCGCTACCGCCAAAAGTCCTTCACCGTCTTCCCCCCAACCCATAAAATCCTTGGACGCCAGCAGCAGCTCTTCGCAAATTTGAATGTCGGCAGTTGTTTTTCCTCCGTGACTCGACTTGGCATGTAAGCATTTCCCCACCCCAGTGACCCCACGCCCCCTCACTCCCAACCCTCTGTTCTGCAGCCCCTCTCCCAGTACGTGCCCTGCCCGGGGTGGGCTACAAGACTGAGAAGCTGCTGACGGAGCAGCTGGGGGCCACCACAGCAGCGGATGTACGGCGCTACAGCCTGCAACAGCTGGGGGACAAGCTGGGAGACAAGACGGGTACGAGAAGGCGGGAATTGCGAGGGCTGTGTGTGTATGATGTGTGAAACAGGGGGGTGTATCTTCGCCCGTGGCAGCTACCCTGCGAAACCCTGCCTTCCCCGGTATTTCGGGGCACCCTCATCCAGTCACCCTAGTCAACTTCTCAGTGGATCGCTCAGGTTCCGCACCCACCACCAGCATCCAACGGAATCTGCCGGGTCGACAGCGGCCCAACTCCATTCCTGGTCGGCTCGCAGGTTAACTTTATCCCAGGTCACCACCGTCCATCAACTAGGGGCGCAATGTGTATGTATGTATGTATGTATGTATGTATGTATGTATGTATGTATGTATGTATGTATGTATGTATGTATGTATGTATGTATGTATGTATGACTTTGATTACACTGTGGGCCGCGAGAGCCGGGGGCCGAAGCCGAAACACAGCGCAAGGGGCGGGTGCATACGGCTGGTTAGTCTCATGCACTCCGCCCCCGGGTCAGGCCGCACGGGAAACGACGGCCGGCACGCAACAGCGCTTGTTTGGCGCTCCAACTAGACGGGATCTATGCCCGTTGGTCTCCTAACATAAACGAAGTCGCAACTGGGGGGCTCTTCCTGCCGACCGAACGAACCGAGCATCTCAGAGAGCTCGCAACCAGGACCTGGGCGACCGGGAGCCCGACGAGTCATCCCG